TTTCTGTGGACAGAGCATACTAACACCTGTTTACAGTGGGAGCTCTAGCTTTTGAATGTAGTGGCAGAATGGAAGAACACTGAAACACCAAGGAGTTGGGATTCAATAGTGACTGACAGATTGATTTGGTGCAAGGCAGTGGAAATTGAGTGCTTTAATTTACTTTTTTTTTCTTTTTACAGAACATATTTATTGTAATGATGTCTTTGTTGTGATTGTTCCAGGCTCTTTCCTTTGTGATTCTCCAGTTCTGTCTGCGCATGGAGAAAATCTGTACACAGTGGAGCCGTATCGGATCCAGGTCCGCACCTGGCAGGTAAGGACTGAGAAGGAATAAATAGGCCTTATTGTTTTCAAAGACTGGTGTGCGAGCTTAAAACTTAACTGGATGATCTTTCTAAATCTATTAACACTACCTTGTCATAATACAGTACACAAAATAAAAAAAAAATGGAGTATTTCAGCAGAAAGGTCTTTGACATTTTGTGTTCTTTAAAAAGTCTTCCACTTTGTATACTACTACACTAATAAGTATTTACAGACTTTAGGTTATCTAAATTTCATGCAGGTGGAAATACATATATCACTGTCAGGAAGATGAACATACAGAATATTCTTACAAGAAAATGAAAAATACCACTTGAACATTTTGTGTGAACCTTTGCAGCCTCTGTTAGTCTCTGAGAACCAAAAAGAGAAATSTCATTATCAGAACTCTATGATACATAGTTTTAATTAGGAAGTAAATATATTTTGGAATGAGTGTGATTTATGACATAAGTATAATTACAGCTTTATTTTTAAGGACCTTTTGGGACTTGAGATTTCTATATCTCTTTCACTTGGTAAAGGTTGTGTTACTAAAGAGGAAATTATTGCAGAAGTATGCCTTTAAATTTAGACTTTTTGAAGTTATATACATACCTGAAACCCAGATTGCATTTTTGGGTGTATGTTTCTCCAATTTGCTCGGAGTGATTTGTCTGACACAGAAGTTCAGCCGATTGTGGCTCAACTTGGTGACAAAATAAGTCCCTTCTAGTGAGGCTGTGGCCACACAAACCTGGTGTTACACATTTCTTCCCAGGGCACAGTTAAGCAGCTGCTGGTGTTCTCCGAAGCAGAGGGGAATCCATGCCTTCTGGATGTCTGTGGGAATTTCCTGGCTGTGGGAACTGATCTGGCTCACTTGAAAATCTTTGATCTCTCACGCAGGTATTAATAAGGCTTTATAATCTGTTTGTAGTTAGGCATATATTTGGTGGGGAATCTTTAGCTGCTTTCGATTTGATGAAAAGCAACAGTCCCTTTGAATCTTGAGACAATACATGCARCCTATGTGAACTGATGGCTTATTCACAAAGCAAGGGAAGAAAAATGGAATAATTAGGCAAGTCATGGATYGATGATGATGATGATAGGTGAAGATGATGATGATGAATATTATTATTTTAAAAAGAAGATACCATGAGGGGTATTAGAGTGCATTTAAAAGTGTGTGGAGAATGTAYGGAAGATCAAGCCAAGAGTGTCCCATGTTTCTTCTGATAACTTGAACATGACTTTAATCTTGAAAGAGTTGAAGTAAAGAAAACTAGGTCTCATATCTCCTCATAAATCAGGAAACTTTTTTCAGTGAATCTATGGAGAAAGTGAATCTGGAACTGTGGAGACTCTGTTCTTCCTCCTGTTTAGGTTAAGAAAGAAGTTTACCTGACTTTGTTCAAACTTTGCTGTACTCCCATACTGGTAAACATGCAAAAGATGCTGACATGACCTTGATTTTGAAAATTTAGTTGCTAATGACAAATAAAATTTTGAAAAGCTGAAAAAGAAAAACCTGAAGAGTGAAACAGATTCTGTTCCTTTCTTGCATGCTGTCCCCAGAGGAATGCTAAAGTCTAGTTAGTTGTCTGCTGGAAACTACCTTGGGCTGGGATCACACACATTCCACCTGGGACACAGTTTGAAGGTTATTAGATTTGGGCAGGTTGTAACTAGCATAAATATTGGATTATGATGCTTGATAGTGTGAAAAAATAGCTTCACTCATGCATGCTATGATAAATTTTTGTGTTTGGTACTGTAAATACCTCTTCTCAAATTAGGACCTTTAATTTCAGGGCACCACAGTTGACTTAGAACAAATGTTATTTTTATAGAATCAAAGGTAATTTTTATGAGACTGTRTTATAGCACTAGATTGCTGTCATTTCAAATTACTGTCACTTCTTTTTGCTGCATTCTTTAGTTTTGTGAGGTTTGTCTTCTTATTGCTGACTGATTACTGTGTCTCACCAATGACATATCTTTACTCCTCCTCCACGGTGTGCTTTCCATACACAGAACTTTCATGTGAGGGGCTCTACTCAACATTCCTGGTACTGTTCAACTTACTTCTGTARGAAAAGCAGGCCTCTGAATTCAGAATTCTGGTCAGATGTTCTTGCTGTATAGCCATATTTTGGGAATCCTGTAGAAGCATTGAAGTTTATTCTTGCTGATTCATTGAGGAAAGAGTGTCTGTTAACTTAATCCTGAAAGAAGGGCAATGGCAGCAATCTTCTTGAGAGGAAGTTGGAGTCTGGGACAGTGGTGTCATACAGTCAGAATAGTTTGCTTTTAAAAGTCTTACCCATAATTTGCTAAATGTTTTGGCTGATGCATATTGCCAGTTGCTTGCCACCATATAATTGAAGTTTATTCCTTTCCACAGAGAGGCAAAAGTGCACTGCAACAGCAAGAGTTTATCCAAGCTGCTCCCTGGTTGTGGAGACATTGCATCTGTGAAGTGCAATGCTAATGGCAGCAAAGTCAGCATCCTTGTCAACAAGGTGAGGCACAGCTCTTCATTCACTGTCTTCTGGTACTTGCCCTTTGATTCATGGACTGTTGTGGGTCAAGATTACTAAGGACACAAGATTCACTTCTCAGAAATAAACCTACCTGGTCCCGGCAGTGTATTGAGCCATGTAACAAAGTGTCATGTCCCTGCATTAATTAAGGTTTCTTAAGGCTTTGTACTGTGTTGGGAACAATCCTGAAAAGGAAGGAATATTTTAATTACAAAAGTTGCTTTGTTAAATTTCAAAGAAATYCAAGGCTGACTTGTTGGAATAGAAAAACAGCCAGGAATTTTCTCGTATTTCTTAGTAAGAATGACATWGTGTGATTACCAACGAAGAAGGCTGAGGGCATGAAGCAGATGGGATAAACATACCTGATCTTCTTTTTAACTTCATGCTCCAGCAACCTTTGTTTTCCTTCTTTGTAGGCAGATGGGAACATCGATTCCAAGATCTGTTTCTATGATGTTGAAATGGACAAAGTTATGCTCTTTGATTTCAAGGCTGAAAAGGGAGATGGTAGAGGGAACTTTTCTGTTGGACAAGGCATTGGCAAGTAAGGAGCTTTTACTTAAAGAAGCATTAATGGTAGATTTAAGATGGAAATTTGCCCTGTGGAGACAAGCACACCTTAATTCTGACATTCCTCTGTCTTGTGAAGGAGCTTGTATGAATTTAGTTATTTATTTCTAAAGAACTAATTAATACCRTTGAATAGTATGTCCATCAAGCTGCATCCTTGTCTATTCCAATAACATAAGCTAGGGAGTCTCAAGGTCCCAGAAAGCAAGCTCAAAATAAGCAAGAGGTGATTCTTCAGCCAACATGCATCTGAGCTAAGGAGCTCCTTGCAAAGGAAGTAGAGATAATAAAGCAAGGGCTCATGGAGATATTGGACAAATTCATAGAATAGAAATGCAGGGAGAGTTATTAGCAATTTGGAAGCCACATCTTGCTAAAGAGGTCTCTGAGTAGAGGATGATTTGGTGTAGAGGGTTTTATTGCATAACTAGAATCAGGATCCAGATCTTTGAATAAAGAAAAATTTTGGAAAGGTACCCTTCCTTGAAGTTTTTACRTAATAGGAACTGAAAAGAGGACATTCTGAAGATCCTTGTAAGAAAAAAAATAAGTATAATAAAAGTTGGGTTTGTGTGGGTAAAAGCTCATGTCTGTTTAGAACTGACACCTTTCTGTTCATGCAGACTGTTCTGTGGGAAGTGCATTAGAAATCCTAGCAGCACAATGCAATGAAGTAGAAATGCTTGTGAAAATGCATTGGAATATTAGGGTACAAATTCCCATTTGGTTTTACAATAGTTTTTCTGGCTGCATTTTTCTTAAGAAAAACCAGCATTGTAATAGGTGGTTTGTTTTTTTTAGCAACTACCTGCTATGGGTATCGCAAGCAAAAAAAAAGGAATTACTCTCCTTACCACTGAAAGCCAGAAGAAACTGCCCAGCTCATAAAATACTAAGGCAAATGCAAATTTGTGGTCTTACGTCTTGGTTAGTTACACAGCAGTGTAGTCAAGGSTAAGAGTGGAAGTTGTTTCCAATTGCAGTGTCTTGTGTAGCCCAACAGAGGCCCACCCAAGCCAGGAATGCTGTTTCACTGGGTGCTAAATAGTGTCTGTGTGAGTAATCCATTTATCTGTGCTTCCTTTGAGAGGATCTTCAAATTAGTGTGGGTAAACTCAGCAGAAAGTGATAATAATCGACACCTCTTCTGCTTCTCTTAACCTACTCCTGAAGCAATATCTAAACACTCCCCGGTTTTTTACACAATTTCTGGTTTTCAGTTTACAAGTTACTGATTTTGAATTCTGTGTCAGGGAGAGAAATTAGGCTATTTCTGCACCTCTTCAAATCTCTCTTTTAATTTTCCCTGTAGCCCTACTCCAGTCTTCCCCACAAATTCCACACTTCAGTGGTGATAGCAAGTGAGAAAATACTTTAATGATGTCTTTGGTTTCTCTTTTAAATAATTTAACGTTTTTTCAGAAGAATGAATACYAAACCATTGCTAAAATAGTGGGATTCTGTATGTCTGGAGTCTTGACATGGATGGCACTGAAGTAGTATTGAAATGCCCAAAGGACGCAGTAAGACATTATTTAAACTGCTGTCAGAGGCTGGCTTTCCCAAGGCTGCAGGGAAAGTCCTTCTACTTAATGGGCTGTTTCACAGTGCCTCAGATTCTTGACATTCAGTAGCCAGGTGATGGTTGGTCTCCCAGGAAACAGTCAACAGGACGAGAGGAAAAGGCCTCAGGTTATGCACAGAAGGTTTAGACTGGGTATTAGGAAAGATTTCTTAAGGGAGAGTTGTCAGGCATTGGAACAGGCTGGCCAAGGCAGTGATGGAATCACCATCCTGGGAAGTGTTCAGAAAATGTGTGGATGTGGCAGTTTGGGACTCGGTTTAGTGGTGAACATGGTGGTGGTGCTGGATGCATGGTTGGTCTTCCTGGTTTTAGAACTCTCTTCCAATCTTAATGATTCCATGGTTCTGAGACAGAGCTGAAATAGCCCCTGTGTTACAGCACCTACACCAGCAGCAGGCACTGAGGTGGGTCTTTTGAAGGATGTTCAAGTGTTTCTGCTGCAGCTGCAGCCTCAGGGGAGGCAGGTTTGGGGTGCCTTTTTTTATAGGCAGTACCCACTTTTTTTTCTACTGAAATGCTTTATGTCCTGTCACCACTGTCAGTGTAACAGATCAAACTAAAAGTGTTGTTGCCATTTGTAAAATGTTGGGGAGTCAGGAAAATGAGTCTGGTTAATGTTCTAATGAAGTATAAATAACTGAACATCACTTGAGAATKATCCCTTGGCTAGTCCTTTATTTACATTCATGCACTGAATGTGCTGGAATTACCTTGTCTCTCTTTCTACATTTTTTCTTGTGTCTTTGTAGGTCTGTAGTGGAGTATCCAGAGTTGCATAGTCATATCCCTGCTTGCCACTTCTGGGACCAGAGTGAACCAAGACTTTTTGTATGTGAAGTARTTCCTGAAACAGGCCTCCGATCTCCAGACCAAAAGAAAAACCAGACTGAGAGCACAGTATGGTCTTTTAAATTTTGTTTTATCTTGTTTTACATGGAGTTCTCCCTGTCAAAGTAACAAATCCTTCGTCCTTCATTAGGGATGTAGGAGTGGGTAGTACACATTACTACATGCAAAAATGTGTAGTGAACCCTGTGTTTAGTGTCTGTGCTTCAGGCAGTCCCTCTATGGCAGCTCTCTGATTTGGCCCCTGCTTGCATGCAGTAAAGAAGAAAAAGTGGGGATTTCTTTAGCTGTGATAGAATTTTGGGGATGACCTTAATGCAAGCTTGTATCTGGACTGCAGTTAGTTTTTCAGGTGACATTATTGGGTGGATTGATAATCTGAAGTTTGTAACTTAAAATATTGCTGGTTTTGTATCTTGAGTCCTCTTTTAGCAGYAAGAATTAACTTGATAAAATAACAGGGACACTACTGTTAATGTGAAYGGGGAAATGTGGTCTTTCATCCAGTCTCTTCCATCTTCTGCTTTTCTGGAGAGACATTGTACATTTTWATGGGACTTCCCAAATTATCTGTTATGGTCCTCTTTTACTTCAGAAAAAAAGATTTAATTTTTATTGATCAGAAATGATCTAGTCTAATATTTCATCACACCAACAATTTTTCCCTTCTTCCCCTGCTACTGTGCTTGTAGTGCTCCTTACCACTTCATCTGTATAGAACCACTTATCATGCATAAACATTCCGTTGATTTGAAACATCCATGTTAATCTTAAGTTTTTGGATTTGTGACTTCTTTTAGCTAAAACTGATAAACATAGAGATAGAAAGTTCTTTGTGTCTTTTCTTGGTTAAAATTACCTTAGAAGAACCATGGGAAGATCAAAGTGAAAAGGAGAAATGGGATGGGGATGTCTCAGAAGGCCTGGTTAGGGTCTTCTAGCAAAAAGAAGAACACATCAGCCTAATATTCCTCATGTAAAAAACTTTTTTGACTTCTAAAAAAATGTTGAAAAAAAKATATAAAAGGAATGCAACCTACTTTTGCCCCTTATTCAACAGAACTTTTTAATGTCTGCTTATGCTTTAGGAAATGAGAAGTCTGATTAATTTTTGTTGGAAATAAATGTTATTTTGACTTGAGTCAGGTGAATACTTAAACTGTTAGAGGAACTATTTTTGAATGGATGGTGTATTTTCCAGGAACTCAAAGTAATCAATAAGYTGATGAATTTACAWTGGGAATAATATAATGCTTTTTWAAAAAAAGTTGAAAACAGGTGTRTCTGCCCCATCCYTGGAAGTGTTCAAGGCCAGGTTGGACCAGGCTTGGAGCAATCTGTTCTAGTGGACAAGGTCCCTGCCTTGGCAGGGGGTTGGAACAAAATAGTTTTTGAGGTCCCTTCCAACCCAAACCATTCTGTGATTCTCTTRTWCTGTGATTCTGTGMTTCTGTTTCTTTGTCCTGAGCCAGATGTGTCAGAGAGATGCCTGGAGCAGCATTCTGTGGCCCAGGGCTTCTCTGTTTGTGGTGGGTGAAGGTGGTTACTAAGGCAGAGGTGGTGGTCCCTGTGCAGGAGGAKCCATCTGGAAAGCAGAGCAAGGYGCTGGCTGCTCACTGTAGGGAGGAAGCGCACACCTCTGTCCTCCCCAGCAGCTGTGTGGCTGAATGTGTAGGTCACGCTATTGTCAAGAGAAGCTTCTGCCAAACAAATATGGAAAATAAAAACAAAAAGAAAGAAGGATATTGCAGCATAAAAACAAAACAATGCTTTGCTTCCTTTTCCAGGTGGATGTTTGGATTATATCATTCTTCAGCACAGAAGAGTATGGCCTTTTGCTGCAGGACAGCTTTCCATTGCCTTCATCCTATCAGGTTCTTCTGGGCATAGAGGTGCCACATTATTACTTCGCAAAAAAGGTGAGGTAATTGCTAAAGATTCCTTCCCTTCCCATAAGTTCACACTATCCACTGTATAGGGTTCAAATTTAACCAAATTTGATTCTGGGGTAGGTAGAACAACTCCAATGGCAAGGGATGCATCACATGCAGAAATGACATAAATTGATGACTGGCATCATTCTGATCCAGATGAACTTGGCAGAATTGTGGAATTTGTAATGAGATAGATTTTTATGGGTATTGCAAACCGAATGTGATTTACAAATGTAGGAGAAGCAGGAATTACCAGATAATACAACTGAAAAAGGGATGTGAAAAAGATTCTGCTTTATCTAGTCACTSTGCCTATTGCAAGTACAAGATGGGGTGTGTGTGAGTTTTATGTAGGCTGTAATAGAGGACATTTTGGACTGGCTTTAGCAGAAGCATCTCACTTCCTTGTTGGAATGGAGCTCTATCTCCAAGAATACCTACGTGAGCAAGCGTAGTCATCTTGCACTATATACAAATGCCAGGAATGCAGGCTCTAACTCCTAAAACTTGAATTTCAATCCAAAATTGTTTGCACATCAGGTAAATGATACCCTGCATAATTCCTTGCATACTGGGCGAGCTGCAGCCTTTCACTTACAACAGATTGGTTTCTGGTGAAGCTCTGACCTGAGAGCTTCTTATGATGATTATTTGCTCTGTTCCTATTTGTAGGGAGAGTGTAATAGAGCCCATTTATTATACTAAGGTGTTTGGTTTTATAAATTCTGTGGTAAATTAATATTAATTAAACTTCTAATCCTGATGTAGTTTGGGAGCACTATTAGGGAGAATGTATCTGCTTACTATGTTCAGATTCAGAGCAGCGCTTTGCAATTCATTCCCTTCAAAGCTCTGCCTGTTGTTAGTCTTCCTGTGCAGATGGAGCTTTTAGAGTTGTACTGTGGTTTACTTTTTTTTTTCTCGTTGAATTGAAAGGTCAAATGTGATATGCTGCATTTTCCAATCTTCCTTTTTAATACTTCCCCATCRTGTCTCATGCTATTTTGCTTTGATATTATGTTTCTTCTTCTTCTTCTTCTTTATACTTTTTTTTTGACTCTGTGTGAATTATTGCTGCCATTAGTTGTGTTTTCGGAGGGGATGTGTCTATAAACCTGTGAGTATCTGCATTGCTTTGGTCCTCTTCCTTCATCCTCTGCTCCTCTCTCTTGTTTTGATTTTCTTGGTGGGTGGTTGTATCTTCGTGAATAAGACACTTTTTGCATCACTTGTATTCATTTGGGAAACGTAATTTTGCATAAGAACAGAGTCTGCTTTAAATACAGCAAATCAAGTTGATGCAACAAGCCTTGTTCACCAAGTTTCATTCCAGGGTTTCTCCGTATTCATTATAATGACTGTACTGTCCTGGTTCTAGGAATTCCTCAAGTTCTAGTCAAACACATTTACACTTTTGATTTCTGTCTTTCACTGTACCCAGGACTTCCATTGTATTATAGTATAATTCTATTTATTATTTGCTTCTGTATATGTTAGAATTTAACTATCTTGTGCAACCATACAGTTGGGGTAGAGTGTACATGTACTTTGGCATCCTTCATGACTCAGATGATCTTCTTCTGTGCTTGGCTTGGGGAATTTTCTTCATTACACTCCAGACAGATCATTGGACATTGAGGATTGAGACTAGTGTTTTTCTGCATAATGATTGAATTGCTTTGGKCTGCCTTTCAGTGACTGGTAAAAGTATCCCTGAAGCTTTAGAACTGCCAGTTGTAAGGGGAAGGGTTTGAACCTGACCTTCAGTATTTATAAGATTTATGTGAAGGCAAGGATAAAGCAATTGGGTCTGTATAATTAACTTTTGTAACAGCAGACTAGTATTTGAGAAGAGACTAAACTTGGAAAAATGCTTGTCTGAAATCTTCAGAAATCTGTGACCTTATAATAGTTGCTGTTATAGTAGTACTACTACTAATATATAAAATATATAAAATAATGACTGTAGTAAAAGGAGGTTGCCTTTCTGTGGTACAATACCAATCTCCAGTGATGACTGACATGCTGTGATTGTTCATGCAATGTGCTAATCTCTTCTGTGACATTCCATATTTTGTGGCATTTTTGAGGAAGTTTTGAAACCTCACAACTATTGTTGCTATGGAYCCTGGTCCTGCAGATATAAAAATACTTGGACTGTAGTGGGAATAATGTAATTAATTACATGTACAAAGGGGTAAGTTTCAACCTGCTTGATACCTATACGACAACCYTCTCCTTTTAGCTGGGAGAAGCTGAGAAGGGAGCATCAGACTCTGGCTCAGGAACAGTCTCTCAGATGGTTGCAAGGAGACCCATGAGAGATTTCATTGGAGTGGGAGACTGTGATAAGACCACCCAGGACGCCATGCTGAACTTCAGCTACTATCTGACTGCTGGAGACATGGATGAGGCCTTCAAATCCATCAAGCTGATAAAAAGGTATCAGAACTATTTGTGTGTATTTCTTCATGGGTGCAGTTTCTTTCTGATAAAGGTTTGTAAGAAGTGTAGATCCTTCTAGATTCTCCTTACCTTCTCCCTCTCTGATTTCATTCTCCCTTTCCTTTCTAACCAGATGAAACATCTTTATCTCACAGACATTTCAATGCTGTGCTCTGCTCATTCTTTGTCTATAAGACATTGAAAGCTCTGTGGTTTATTTTTTACTAAAGGAGAAATAATTACTAATAACCAGCAACTTTATCTTGTGTCTGAATGGCAAAAATCTCATGTCATAACTAGAAGAAAATGAACATTTTATTTATACATCTATAATAATCACAGCAATACCAAGTATTACAGATTTATCAACCACATAGGTAATTTTTAAATTCAAATGTACATTATTATAACATGGATATTGCAATATTAGAGGAAATAATATAATGTCTCTTAAATATTCTAATATTTTATTTTAAAAACCCTGCTTTAAGTCATAGAATATTATTTCTGGAATGCTTTTTTTTTCCCAGAAATGAATGCATGCAGATGAATACTAATCTTAGTTGGTTTTTACAAACCTACTAGAAGAAACTCTTTGTCAACYTTGTGGTATTTCCCTCGGTAGTCTGGAGCAGTGCTGTTGTTCTAGAGCATCACTCTCTGCAGAGTGTTGCTCATTTGGAACRTGATGCAAAGCAGCAGTCGGGGTTGAGTTTCTTATCACATCCAAACTGCAGAACAGAACTCAAGAGCCAGCTTGATGATCACATTTTAACAAAGTGTGGAAATAGTGATAAAGAAGCAAAGCAGTGTACTCAGCTGGGAGCAATACAACAGTCCTGAGGAATTTGTAGCATTCACAGCTCATGGGCCCTCAAACCTAYCACTAATTGTGCTCACAGCAGCATCCAAAGAGTGCTTACACTCCTGTCATTGCCTCAGGTTCCTGTATTCAATGTATTCCTTTATAATAGTTTTTGATATGTTGTTTTTCTTTCTGAAAATTACACRCCTATGACTTTTGTGAGGCCATGTGCTTCTCAGGGTAAGGCTTATAAACATTACACCTAATTCTAAAGGTATTAATTTTTCACTTCAATACCAAATTAAGTTATCAGACAAGTAGTTTTTTAATCTCAAAATCCTGAAGTCCTGTATATTTGTCTTGTTCTCCAGTGTAGATGCTTGAGTGGCAGCTCTGTTCTCCAGTATTCCCTGTGTTATGTGACTCTGAGCATTGCTGGGCACAGCTGGTGTCCTGCCATAGCACTCTAATGTCACAGCAAATATTACAACTAGCTGGAGAGAAAATAAACCAATTTGGGCTGGAATATCTCTTTCTAATAATAGTTCCCGACAATGTAAGTTAATCATATTTCTCATTATTAGGGAGTTCAGGTAGCCTCCTGTTGACATTTGCTGTCAATGTAACATGGAAACAGATTTTTCAGCAGCATGTGTGACCTGTTCTAGCTGTGTACCCTTCTCTTTTTTAATGTCTGTTTACGCACAGGACATTACCTAACCCYTGTCTCAGGATACAAAAGAAATGTCTGAAAAGAAATGCAATTTAATTCKTCTGCAATCCCTTTCTTTACATTAGAATAGTTAGAGTTGTTTTTGTTTTTTACTCTCTGGTCTGTTTTGGGCTGGGAGCCACCCTGGGAGGGGCAGCTAATGAGAATTCACTCCTCATAGAGAGGTAGAAGTAACGACTGGAGGGTGATGAAATTTAGGCAGCTGTTATACCCATCACTTAATCTGCTTTCTCGGATTGCCTATTAACTCCCAGGCTTTTGTCAGTGGTCTCCTATAGCTTTTTGGTTTAATTTTAGGGAGCAGGAGACCTTGACGCAGACAGAGAAAACATGTTTGGTTCCCTCTTTCCTATATTCTCATTGTATACACTTGGTATCTTCTCCAGCTGACCCTGCAGCCAACCCAACAATTCTGTGTTGTACAGCAGAGGGAGAGGGCAAAAAAAAAAAAGATAAAATTATGTGTTTTATACATATGTATATAGGTGGAGCCCATCTAAATAATAATTGAGGGCCTCTGCCCACACATGAGAGCGTTGTGGTGTCTTTCAACCCTTAGTTTTAAATTATAGCATATATTTATAGAAAACAACTCCAGTGCAGACCTCCTTGGAGATCTTTCCCCCTTCAAGTGTGCTCTTTCAGCATGGTGACTCAACATAGTCGTTCTCCAAGCCCCGGCGAAAGCGAGCGSTCAGGGTGCGGCTGATGACAATGACCCGGGGTGCCATGCAGTCTTCACGCCTGTGGAGGATGTTCCAGATTAGAATGGCAGCTGCCAGCGTGGCCAAAAGGCAGGCTCCAATGTTCAGGTAGCAGGACCATGAGAGGTTGGTGTATGGTCCRATACGGTAGAACGTCACTAGTCCAATAACCAGAACAAAACCTGCAAGCATAATGGCATAGTTATTTTTAATGAGTTCTTCTCTTGAGTTTCTGCAATAGCAAAATGCCATAGGCATCTCAACACTTACAGTCTCAGTGTTCATAAGTCTGTGGGGCCTTTCCATCCCTATTGGGATATGCTTGGATGTGTTCTTGAAGGCATATTTAGGCCTCATGATACATGAAAAGAGAGTGCCTTAAACAGAGGCTCAGTATTAGGTTTAAATCTGTGCACTGTGATTTAAATTTCTTATACCTAACGAACTGTATTTCACATTGGGCTTTTTTCCCCCCGCACATTTGAATCACTTACACAGATGTCCTCTTTCTTACTCCCATTGCCAAAAGAGAAAACAGCTCCATGAATGATAATAGTAATAAAAATCTCTTATTCACAGTATGTACACTTTTTCTGAAATTTTTAAATGTTTTTTTTAAGGCAGGCCAATATGTAAACTGCAGAGATGATGAATAGCTAAATACCTTACAGAATAATGAAAAGCAATGTAGAGAAACTTTTAAAAAAGGGAAGGTGAAATAAATGGAACTTTGTAGTCCTACTTYTTCTTGCTGGAAAGAAGTGTTATGAGGCAGAAGTAATGCCATGCCTCCAAAGCTACTGAAGGCAAAWTTTTTATTGTCCTTATAACCTTTAGCACACTACTAAGTTCCCTAAAAGGCAGGTAATATTAGAGTAATAACACTTTACTTGTCTAGCATTTCCATTCAGGTATCACAACGTAATTTGCAAAAAAAAAAAAAAGGGGAAAAAATCAMATTCTCTTTGGTGGTTGCATTACTGATGAATAGTAATGTTATTTCAGAAGTGAGGTGGGGTGACTGTTCTAGTCATGTGGGAGATCCATGTTAGATCAAGGGGCAATCTCTATCCCTTTACACCTCCTCTTTCATGTTATTGAGACTGCACTTTCCCTGAAGAATGCATTGATAACAACATGATTACTTTTCTGCCCTCTGTTTATTGTATTATCACAGAACCGTACAATTCCAGAATGGTTTGGGTTGGAAGGAACCTTAGAGCTCATCCAGTTCCACCCCCTGCCATGGGCAGAGACATCTTCCAGTATCCCAGGTTGCTCCAAGCCTKGGACACTTCCAGGGATGGAGGAGCCTCAGCTCTGGGTACCCTGTGCCAGGGCCCCACCACCCTCCCAGGGAGCAATTCCTTCCCAATATCCCATCCATGCCTGCRCTCTGGCAGTKCAAAGTCATTCCACTTCGTTTTGACAATCCAGGCCCTTGTCCCAAGTCCCTCTCCATGTSTTCTGGAGCCCCTTTAGGCACTKGAAGGGTCTCTRAGTTCTCCTCAGAGTCTCTTCTTCTCCAGGCTGAACATTGCCAGCTCTKCCAGCCTGGCTYCAGAGCAGAGGGGCTCCAGCCTTGTCTCTCTTCCCATACCTATTGTCAAACAAAACTATTTCAGCTTTTTGAAAGATGTAATTCATGGATGTGATTAGATTGAAACAAACACAAAAAGGCAAATATGCCTCACTAACCAAAAAAAGGTTTTCTCTTTGTTCTCCTACACACTTCTTAACCACCACCATAATAAGAATGCCATTACCAAAAGGACCAGTTCATGAAGGAAGATGGGAATAATCAAATATCCATGAGCTGCCTGAATACGTCTGGACACCATCTTCCTAAGTTCATGGGTAAGGAGAAGTCAAGAGCAAGTCCCAGTGGCTGCCTGGTGTTATCTCAGCTAGCCACAGTGACTGTGCCTGCAAACACTGTCCACATGGATACATGGCAATGGTGTGACCCCTGGCCCTTGATTTCCCATGAAAGAACAAGTCCTGAGTGTGCATTGTATCAAGTTTTTTTCGTAAAAGAGTACTAGTAATGCAGTGAAGATGGAAAAGATACAAATTACATACAAATAAAAAACACAGAGGAGGGAAATGAAATACAAGCAGGAGGAAAAAAATTCAATCATTACCTAAAGGTGTGACACCTGTACTATTCTGAGAGTCAGTAAAATGAAGGCTGAATCCCCCTCTTCATCATACAAACACTGAATAAGTATTCCTTCAGGAGATGTCTGCCATCCTTGGCTCTCCTGTGTCTACCTAGAAGGTGGTTTGTAACTCARTTGCTTATTGTACCTTCTCCTTCTGAGTTATCACTGTCCCACAGCTGGCATGTCCAGAGGGRGTTTGAGGTAAGGCATTTCTCTGTCTGAGGACAGGTAAGGAGGAGATAGGTTCTTATGGGAGGAGTAGCTCTTCGCTACTCTTTCCCCACTCWGTTGTGAAAAAGCCTAATATGCCTTGGATGGGTTTTAGGTTACTGACCCAGTTGTAAGGACATAGTAACTCCTTGATTTTGTCAGGCAGTCTGGTAGTTATTTTATGGTTCAGCTTAGTTATAAATGARCAAGTTTTATTTGGAGAGAATGCGGCCATGTGGAGCACACTGAGTTGCAGAAATCACTGATCCTTGCAATAATGGTTTGCTAGTGCAAATAAAATATTTTCCCCTCATTTCCAGTGTCATTCTTCAAGTTCAGTTTGTCCTGAGGCACATGAAGAAGATGGGGAGATCAGGTTCTGTTTTATGAGAGACATCAGATTTTTTAAGCCTTTTCTGAGATGGCTTGGTTCCCTCTCTATGGAAACAAGATGGTACAACTTTCTGTGTTTATTTTGTATTTCAGARCACTGGGAGCAGAGCATGCTAGTTGTGATATGCTTATAAAGAATTTGGATGTCTACATCTTCATTTAGGTCYTACTGTTTTGCAGTTCATTGTTTGAAGGACAATAGATAGCGATTTTCTTATGAAGGTAGGAAATCAAGAGGAAAAGAGATGCTTGCACTTTCTGCAGCTAAGTTAACCTGCTTCATCTCCTTACGGTTTAAAATTGGCAGGAAGGAGGGTATTGATCAAGRGACCCATCTTACTTAGTCTGGCACATGAGAAGACTTTGTGTAATCAGTCTTCCTTTTCAGTTTTCGTTTCAGAACTCATTTCTAATTCAKACACTCTTTCACAGCGAATCCATAAAGTGTTAAATAATTTTTTTTTAATGTAAAGAAAATCATAAAACCTTAAGCAGGGAGAACTTYAAGCAAAAGCTATTTGGACCAGTGACCACTCACAGGTACCTCTAAGGGACAGTTATAAATATTAACAACAGTCCACTTCACATTAGCTTGCAGTATTTTGTCAAGGCTCTCTTGGCAGAGGGAYGTGGGTTCAGGAGCACTAGTGTCATGGTTTGAACCCACGTATCCAGTAAAATACCTAAAGGAAGACAGTTGCCTTCCCAGACTATTTCTCATAAACAACTCTACTAAAAATAACCAGAAAATTTCTTTCTTTGCCATCAGGCTTCTTGAGCTCACAGTGTACAATACAGGTTGATAAGGGCTGTAGAAGKGACATATTTCTTTAAATTTATTTATTAAAATGTTGAATGATTTTCATCTGATTTAGTTTCTTTTTTGTTTTATAGTGATGACAAGACTTTGAGATGCATGGCTTAATTTCCCTGAGTTAATTTAATTAAGTAAATCAATCAATTTCAGATCATTTTATTGTGTGTTGTTTCAAGACTGCACAGAGGCCATAACTTCACTAAAAATCCTGATGAGACTACTTGAAGTGCTTTTTTTCCCACAGAACTACTGTTATCTCTAGTTGTTTCCCATCTGCAGCAAAACAAGCTGGGAGGGGGGTGGCTTTTCCGCTGGGGAAGGAAACGGATAACGAAATCACTGGGAAGACTTTTGGTTGGAACAGTATTGACTGTGGTAGTGGGGGTGGGTTGGGAGAATGTTAGTTTTTGAACTCACATTTCAGATCTGCATGCTGGATTTCCTGTTTGACTGAGGCTGGCTGCAAGCCAATTGCAGAATTTTAGCATTTTAAAAGAGTTCTCRTAGTCACTTTTATTTCTGTGATAATTTGTTGTTTTATTTAGACACCCCTTGATTCTCATTCTTTCTCTTTATTAGTGCACTGATAGTGCAATTGAAGAAATCCAGATTGTTTTTTCTGGGTCACCAGAAATTCTATATTGGGACTTAAAATCCTCCTCTTTACAGCTTGTCCTGTAGGGTGATTTTTGCTGCCAAGGAAGCAGAAGGAAAATAAAGCAGCCAGAGTGTTGAGAATACACCATCCATGCTTGTGCAGAACTGCAAACAGGGAAGGGAAATATTTCACTCTTTTCCATGTACCCCACGAAGTTTCACAGGGAATGATTTAGCTGTGGTGAGTCTCATGCCTAAATGGCCTGTTTGTAGGAGCTCAATTGTATTTATCAGCATAAGATAGATTCACAAAGTGATTCTTATAGGACTTTTGCAARTTTTTAATTAATAAACACGTTTCCTTTATATCAGCTTGGCACAACAGGAGTTGTTACAGTTCAGGGCAGATATGGGACCTCTGTAATAGTTGTGTACTCTTCATTGTAGCACCAAGCTGGATGATGCTTTAGTGTCTAATGCCACAGGGAAATTAGAATGTGACCATTAGAGTCAAGTGACCTTTGAGGTTTTGGTTGTACATTGTTAAGTACAATAATTTGTTTGTTTGGTTTTTTTTTTGTTTTGGTTTTTTTTGTTGTTTTGTTTTCTGTTTTTTTAATTTGTTTGTTTTGTTTTGTTTTGTTTTGTTTAGTTCTATTTCCTTCCAAGGATTTTGGTAACATGTAACATCTTTTAGAATTAAACATGTGAGTAGCACAGCTTCTTAGAGGCGATAAGACCCTTTTGTTGCTCATTTTTCTGAGTTACAAGGGCTTCCCACTTGTGTTCTTTGGATTTGTCAGTCCCTGTCTTTAACCTGATGGGAGATTTAGTTAAGGCAGTGAATCCTACTTTATGTTGGAAATCTTCAACTAGCTTAGGTCTGTTGACAGTAAATTGCTTTTGTTGGTTATCTTTTGGAGGTTTCCTTAGAAGTTATGCCAGKTTTTGAATGGAATGTTGAAAAGCATTCCCAGTGCACTAGGGAGAATTCCTCTTA